GTGGAAGGGACCAGGGCCACGGGATGCTCACCCAGGACCCCCGTGCTCACCATCACTCTGCCTGGCAGGCAGGCTGATCCCTCCGGAGCCCACAGCATCTGCAGGGCTGGCAGCATGGCACAGGGACGCGGGCACACGAGCAGGGCAGCGGGGAGTGTGCCACCCTGTGCTCCACACAGGGACTGTGCTGTGCCCCGTCTCCCCAGTGGTAAATTGTCACTAATTAGGAGTGTTGTCACCATGGCAATGGCAGTGATTAGGGAGTGACACAAGCGGCTGCCAGGCCCAATTAGCTCCTGATGAGAGGGACTGAAGGAGGGAGGTGGGTGAGGAGGGGATGCCAGGGGTCTCGGGAGCACCGGTGGGCAGCACCAAGGGAGCATGGGGGGCATGAACCCCCCTGGGGCAGGGTGCTAGCTGCCCCCTCACCCCTGGGCTGCTGTCCCCAGGGGGCCGTGGGGTGGCCGTGGGCCCCATCCTGAGCGACAGCGCCTCTGACATATTCTGTGGTAACGAGAACAGCCCCAATTTCCTCTTCCACAACCGGGGAGACGGGACATACCGGGACGTGGCAGCTGCTGTGGGTGAGTAGGGGAAGCAGAGGGGAGGACCCAGGTGTTGGGGACCCCAGGGGACGTGCCCAGGCAGGCTGAGCGCAGGGTGCAGGGAACAGCCCTGGGGACCCGGAGCCCCACTGACTGCGGGGGGTGGCTGAAGTGCACCAGGGCACTGTCTGTCAGCGCAGGGATGCAGCCCTGCGTGGGGAGGACCTATCTGGGATGGGGCACATCCTGGGAGGCATCCCGGGGAGACGGAGGCAGGGAGGGGGTCCCGTCTCCCCCCATCCCCTTGCGGCTCCCCAGGGCTGGATGACCCCTACCAGCATGGACGTGGCGTGGCGCTGGCTGACTTCAACCGCGATGGCCGGGTGGACATTGTCTACGGCAACTGGAATGGGCCGCACCTCCTCTACCTGCAGAGCGGGGCCCCTGGGCGCGTCCGATTCCGGGTGAGGGCTGGGGCCAGGACACCCCCACTGCCAGCTTTGCTGCCGAGCCTCCTTGACTGGGGGGCCGAGCTTCACCCCAATTTGGCTTTGAGCCCCAATTCCCAGAGGGGAGGGGAGCTGAAGCACTAAAGTGGGACCCAGTGTCCTGCTCCCTGTGTCCCTTGTCACCCCCTGCCCATCCCTCGTGCAGGACATCGCTACCCCCAAGTTCTCCATGCCGTCCCCCGTCCGCACCGTCATTGCAGCCGACTTCGACAACGACCAGGAGCTGGAGGTTTTCTTCAACAACATCGCCTACCGCGGCTCCTCTGCCAAC